CACACTATTCCTGATACAAGCCAGGATGCTGCTGGCCTTCTTGGCCACCTGGGCACACTGCTGGCTCATGTTCAGCCGGCTGTCAGCCAACACCCCAAGGTCCTTTTCCACTGGGCAGCTTTCCAGCCACTCCTCCCCAAGCCTGTAGCGTTGCATGGGGTTGTTGTGACCCAAGTGCAGGACCCGGCACTTGGCCTTGTTGAACCTCATATAATTGGCCTTGGCCCATCAATCCAGCCTGTCAAGAACCCTCTGCAGAGCCTTCCTACCCTCGAGCTGATCAACGCTCCCGCCCAGCTTGGTGTCATCTGCAACCCTACTGAGGAAGCACTCAATCCCTTCATCCAGATCATTGATAAGGATGTTAAACAAGACTGCCCCACAACTGAGCCCTGGGCAGCACCACTTGTGACTGGCTGCCAGCTGGTTTATCTGCATTCACAACTCTCTGGGCTCGGCCATTTAGCAATTTCTTTATCCAGCGAAGGGTACACCCGTCCAAGCCACGAGCTGCCAGCTTCTCCCAGGTTGGTCAAGCAGGACCTGCCTTTCATGAACCCATGCTGGCTGGGCCTGATCCCCTGGTTGTACTTCACATGTCCAGTGAGCACACTTAAGATGAACTGCTCCATAACCTTCCCCCGCACCGAGGTCAGGCTGTCAGGCCTGTAGTTCCCAGGATCCTCCTTCCGGTCCTTCTTATAGATGGGTGTTACTTTGGCAATCCTGCAGTTGTCTGGGACCTCCCCACATAGCCAGGAGTGCTGATAGATGGTGAAGAGTGGCTTAGCCAGCTCCTCTGCCAGTTCCCTCAGAATTCTTGGGTGGATCCCATCCGGCCCCATAGACTTGTAAGTGTCCAGGTGGCATAGCAGGTTGTTAACTGCTTCCTCCTGGATTGAAAGAGGTTTATTCTGCTCTCCATCCCTATCTTCCAGCACTGGGGGCTGAGCACCCTGGGAATAACCAGTCTGACTGTTAAAGACTGAGGCAAAGAAGTAATTAAGTTCCTCAGGCTTTTTGTCATCCTTGGTGGCAATATTGAAACGGGATCTCCAGCCTCTCAGTGCCACATGCTGAATCTTGCATAGCATCACATTAAATAGAATAACTTCAGCAATAAGTATTGAGAACACCTTGACTTCTCTTTCTCTTTTAACCTTTTCATTAGTTCTCTCACCTCAGACATTAGAAATACGGCTTCAGACTTTCAGATAGAAGTAAGAATTGAATGTGGTTCCCTCATTACTGGGCTAGTAGATATAAAGGACACCTCATGTAGGGACCATGGAAGCCCTAAGGGCAGAGTAGCACAAAGTTTATGAACCCAAAGAGGGCTTGTATATTACTTGGGTTTTGAGCCATTCAATCATTTTAGGGAAATGAAGAAGTTCACCTTTGGAAATCCAGGAGTCAATGGACTTCAGGTCTAATCTGAAGGATTAAGCCATAGCTGAGTGGTAGTTTTGGCCGTCTGAAATCTGGACCTCAGTAAGAAGTGGCCAAGAGCTGTTGAAGTCCCATCCGTGTTCCTTACCCTCATTCTTGGTCAAGTTGAAATGTACTAGAGCAGAACTCGTGTGAGGAGGTGTCCCCATGCTGGGATCCTTCTGAGGCTTCCTGACATCGCAGAACAGGTAGAGTTGCTCCCTTCTTCCTCTTCGCAGCCAGAGGAGAGCCTGAAGATCAACACACTGCGCTGTCCTTGAAGTGGCTCTTTCCTTGGCATGTTTCCCACAACAGGGAGATGGGCACAACCCCTTAACCGTTTGGTTATGACTCTGAATACTTATCTTTATTCAGACCTAGGGTTCACAGGAAGTCGATTTTCTAATTATAAAACAGTAGTTAATCCAGCCAAAAGCTTTTAAATGAGAATTGTGATTTATTTGGCTGGCGTATAGCTGTTCCACATTACCATAATTAAAAGGTACAGAGCAAATGAGCTTTTTGCACAGCCTCAACTGATTTGGTTCAAATTGCAGCTAGGAGATGTATTGCTCGTTAGTGCCTATCAGTATAGCCATTAGTCAGCAAAACTCCTCGTTTTGTATAACCTTACCAGGGGGAAACTTACACAGCAAATTCCTTCTTCTTTTCATGTGTGCTAGACTGAAGAGTTTAGTTTCTACTCTAAAAATAACAGTGGACTTATTCTTTTCTCAATCTGCTGTAAATCAGGAGTGAATTTATTAAAATCTCTGGGCTGATATGGACAGAAAAAACAGACAATGTTGGGAAAGAATCCAGCTTAGTATTTCTGAAGCTTGTTTATCATTGTATAACTGATCATGTTTATCAAAAATGCATAGCAGTAAGCATGTTCAGTGTTAATAAAACTTACTAAACTGGTGACATGGATGCTCACTGTGGTGATTTAATGTTGCCATTATTTTTAACTGTCTGACCTTCACTCAAAGTTGTTCAGTGATGGAGAACCCATGGCCCCTAGCAAGAATGTTCTATTCATCTCCTACCTTTATAATTAAACATTTCTATCTTACTTCTAGCCTAAACTAGGCTATATTTAGTCTCTTCCATCCTATCTTTGTCTGCTGGGTTAAAGAGCTCTTTATTATTCAGTCTCTGACATCCCTAATGCTCATTTCCTTTGTCTTTAGATCAACTCCAGGGATGATAATGGTGTGATTGCTGGATCCTGGGACAACACGTACACTTATGGGGTCGCACCTTCAGCCTGGACGGGAAGCGTGGACATTCTCTTGGAGTATTACAGTTCTAAGCAACCAGTGCGATACGGCCAGTGCTGGGTCTTTGCCGGTGTCTTCAACACATGTAGGTATCAGTGAGAAAAGCTCCACCCTTCTATATGATTCTTGCATAACAGAGAGAGCTTTTAGGGTAAACTAGCTAAAATACTTCCTGGCTCTGCCGTATTCAGGAGTAAATAGTAGAGATACTTAAAAACATATGGCTAAAATAGATTATCTTTAAATAAACTTTTGGCATCTCCTTCAATTCAGCTGCTCTTCCTCACAAATCTGTTAACTATTTATTTGTTCAGTAAAATGTATTCAGTGATTCACAGTGGGTGAGTTTGGGAGACAGAAAGCTAGTCTTTTGGCACACTCCACCTTTCTGCTAGGAAATCTGAGATGAACACGAGGCTTGTTATCTAGACCTGAAACATGAAACTATTCCCAGATATGAGATCTGTGATGGTGTCTCTGCTCCAGAGAAGCTAAATCTCACTACTGAGGATTGTTCCTAGCAAGATTGATGTGCACCGTCACAGCACTTGCCTACTGAGCACTGTTAACATTTTCTATGGAGTTTGTGAGCAAAAACAATGAGGAAAATGCTGGCCTGGATTATGAATTGTCTAGCACTACAAGGTTAAGTTTAAACACGCTTGCTCAAACTGGAGTTCCAATGTTGCAGCTTGTAAAGCCCAGCAGGGAAAGCAGCATTGGATTGGTTAACAGCAGCATCCCAGATGAACGCTACTAATACACTGGAACACACTGCAGCGTATTAGGAGTCAAGAAAGACCCTGGGAGTGTAAAAAATCTGCAGTACACAGATAATGGGGACCAGACATTGGAACCAATGCTTATGCAAGTGGTGAGGTAGAGCTAGTCATGCAGTTACTATGCTTATGGCACTGGCTAGTAGAAGAAGCTGAAGAGAAACCATAAGTGTCTTTCTTAAGCCCAGATGATCTTCCTTAGAGGCACTTACAACATATGCATTGAAGTGTCAAACTGGGGGCACCCGATCCTCTTATGACCAGGGCGACACAATGGGTATTTCTTCAGGCTTGGAGCCTACTTTGCATCAGGTATTTTTCAGCCACAGCTGAAGGTCTAAGCTTTGGCCTTTGTATTTAAGATGTGAAAAGGAAATCACAGAAAAACTCCTTGTGAAACCTTTCCCTTTTTAATCTGTTTCAATACAGTCACATGTTGTTGTCTCAAGAAATAGTATTATACTTCTTGTTACATTATACTTTTATCCAAAATGAAGGATATTAATAACCCATCTTCTGCAGCAAACATGGAGATTGTATAATTAATGACAAGTTACAAGACTGGTTCTTTACCCTCAGGCAGCCCTGGATATCTCTGTGTTTTCACTTTACTTTTGGCTGTTTTGTACGAGTATGTTTCATTTTGTATATAATTTTCCTCCAATCTCACTAATTGAATTTCATAACTCGTTTTGGTTACCTGAGGTAGTTCAAAAGCTATTGAAAACAGTAAGGACCTCGGAAATAAATCTGTATTGTGGCCACCTAGCCTTCTGCTGGCACATGCTTCTCACAGCTACAACAGGAGAAGCGGTTTCAGGTTTCTCCTTCTCTTTCATATATCTGGAGAGGTTCCTGTTGTGATTTGGGGAGGTGCTGGCAGATGCTCTGTCCATCGACACATGAAATAGTTCCTTTTATTCCTGGTGCAACGGGGTAATCAGCAATCACTGACACCTGAAGAACCTGAGAGACACCTACTTCCTTCACTGCCCGAGGTCTCGTGGTCTATTCTTAATGCTCCTCAGCCTCTGCACAACGCAATGGGTTTGAAAAGGCTCTTGCAAACGTTTCCTGTGGATGCAGTTCCTCACAGTGGCTTCCACCCGTTGCCTCATCTGGATTTGTCTAGATGACAGACCCACTCACCAGTTCTCCCACCTTCCCCCTGCGCTGGCCCCGAATCACTGCTGCGCAGTATTTTGCCTGCAGGCCACCGTGAAACTGGGGCGAGTCAGAGACCTGGTGCTTTGTACTGCTGCAAGGGTTGCTGAAGTATAAAGGTCCTCGAGCATTATAAAAAGGAATAGTTGTCCAGGGCCTGATCTGATACATAGTCACTGGCACGTCCAGCTGCTGACCACTGCACAGAGAGGACAGCAACGGTCCAGACAGTCATGTACAAACAAAAGGGTTGTTTTGAGCTGGTTCTGTGTCTTTCTCAGCTGCCAATATTTTATCATTGTGACCAGTCCAGCTTTCCAAGGTTACTATTTGTACACTCTGGATAGTCATCCGTTAAAAATGCTAAAACATTCTGAAAAATGGTCATTAATCTTGAAATTGTCAGACAAATTATTTTCAATGAGGCCTGATGGCTCATGCGCTGGAAGCCTGGGAGGGCACTTGAATTAAGTTTAATCAATAGGTACATATGGTATTGGATGCATCCAGGTAATCTGTCATCCAGGAACTGGAAATGAATGTGCAGCGCTACACTTTATTGGGAGTCACAGCAGTGACACTAATGAATACACGAAACCCAGCAGCAGCAGCAGGGGCCATTCAACGTTGCAGCATCAGAACTATTTTTAAATAAGATTTTCACTAAAAATGTTTTCCATTTCCAGAAAAAAGTCTCTGTTTTCTGCAGAACCGTGTTGGCTTCTAAATCGGAAAACAGGAACTTTTTTTGGCTCAGACACAAGATATTTCCTCTGTTGAAGCTGAGATGATGTGTCACCCTGCAGTCGCGCTCCCGCCTCGGGGCCGTGGTCTGTGCCTATTTGTCACCCAGGGTGCACCAGAACCGCAGAAGCCTAACGATGCCCTACCGCGTGTCAGGCTTAGCCATGGCATTCCTTCGTATCCCGAATTTACCACTTGCCAGATGGGAAGAAGAGCCATCAGTGCTACATTGTGATGGTCTGAGATTTAGGGGTCGGGGCATTTTTGTTGTTGTTTTTTTGGATCCTCCTTTTAAGATCCTTTAAGGGAAGGGACTATTGACTCCAAAATACTATTACTTAGCAATCAATACAAATTATGTAGTGCATTTTGTTCAGACTCTCTAACTCTGACATTTCACTTGTAAATAATGCAGCTTTTCCCCCTTGTTAGCAATAATTTTCTGCTTTATTCTTTGTGTGGTCCAGATCCCTTCAGATGGCAGATGTTAAACAGGACAACTCCAAATCAGGCAAAAGGATACACTTTCTACTAATTTTCTTTCTAGCACAGTCTCATGATTCTCCTGGGTTACTGATACTAGGAGACCTGATATATTCCGCATTTCTTGCAAGCTCAAATATATTTTTCTTCATACCACGTTTGGTCATTCAGTGGACCAGATTTCATTCAGCACCCAGATTTGCCCTGAAACGCTACAGCTCAAGACTTTTCTAGAACGATTGGTAATCAGCTGTTTAGGTTATAACCATTGTACCATTACATATCTTGAATGCTCATCATTTTGGGACCAAATAAAATATTTAACGTATTCTATATAAAGGCAAATAGGAGGAATTATTTGTGTTGATTTGACTGAGTTTTTCCATTTTATTCCAGTTGTTACTAGTTTCTCTCTACTCATCCTGTCATCCATGAGCACAGTCTTCATATTTGGCCTTCTCTTCACACTTCTCTCTTTGCCACAGTTCTGAGGTGCTTGGGGATACCTGCAAGACTCGTTACCAACTATTCTTCTGCCCATGACAACAACGCCAATTTACAGCTGGACTTCTTTCTGGATGACGAAGGGAAAGTGGACACCAAACTTACTAAAGACTCTGTCTGGTGAGTTCTCCTGGCAAACGCCTTTAATGTGTCAACTACATAAGTAGTAAAAAACATGACAGCAATGCCTGTGGTTTATTTATTTCTCTGTGCATTAAACAACACTGCTAGCTTATGTAAAATAGAATGAATGGATTCTTAGCAGGCTGACTAATATGAAGTGCTTGTCATGTAAAGAGATATACCCAACGGGATCCCACTGCTAATGTTTCCATTCAGTATAGTGCACATGTAAGCACACTGGAGGAGAGAGGGAAGGAGTTAGTGCTCCTTAGGGCCAGGCCATTTCTAAAAATGTAAAGGGGTAGGATGGACACTTCCATAAGTCTGGAGCCAGCCTCAACGGGATACCTCAACATCTACGGAAAAACACCCTTCTTGTCCTGCTTCTGCCCAGTTCCCATATTTGTAGGCTGGTTTTACATTGTGTACATGCAGTTACTGTTGCAAATAGGTACTTTCGAAAATAGATTCAGTTGGGCTGAAAAGCAAACAAGCCAAAGTATCATACAAATTACTGAAGTGCTGTTACCAGATTTATAAAAAGAAAAGTCCCTACGAATAAGAAATGGAATCTATGTATTCTTTTGGAGAAGACAGCGCTCTAACCTCCTTCTCGAAGCCTTACTGTCTCCTGTCTGACAGAGGAAGTGTAGCGCTTATTGATTATATGCTCTGTTCAGTAGAAATTATGTGTGGGTTACTGGGCCTCAAGCCTCTCCTCCTGAGTGAAGCAGTGAATGTGACCTCTGTGTATATTCTTATATTCAGGAGATACTTGTCCTATTCAGTGTTAATATACCTGATTTGTATCAATGATATCTTCTACTCATCAGCATATTTCCTCATCAGCATGTTCATTAACAACTTGTATTAAAACTGTAATAAACCCATTCTGTGGTGAAGGAAATGACTGAACCTGTTGCTGTAACTTCTTTTATGTGATTTCCATAATCTGCTACCAAGAAGGCATCTAAGGAAAACAATTATGTGCATTTACATCTGAAGCTTGTATGACAGCTTCACAGAATAGTCGAGACTGGAGAGGACTGCTGGAAGTCATCCAAACCCCTTGCTCAAAGCAGGGTCAGCTAGAGCAGGTTGCTCAGAGCTGCGTCTGGTCGGGTTTTGAGCATCTTCAACGATAGACACGCCACAACCTCTCTGGTAAACTTGTGCCAGTGCTCAACCACTCTCACGGTAAAAAAGTGTCTCCTGATGTTCAGACAGAATTTCCTGTGTTTCAGCTTGTGCCCGTTGTTTCTTGTCCTGTCACTGGAGGCCATTGAGAAGAGTCTGGTTCTGTCTTCTTCCTCCTGTCTACCTACCCAGGCATTTATACACATGAATAAGATCCTATTGAGCCTTCCCATCTCCAGGCTGAACAGTCCCAGCTCTCTCAACCTCTCCTCATGTACAGCCTCTAGCATATCAGCCATTCCTGACAGTTTTCTGTACCAGCAAAATTGCTGAAGGTGTAGTAGGTCTCATCATCCAGGTAATTAATGAAGACATTAAACAGTATTGGATGCATTATCAATCTCTGGGGTACACAGCTAGGAACTAGGCTCCAGCTGGAGTCCACACCGGTGATCACAACCCTCTGCTCCCAGTAATTCAGCCAGTTTTCAATATACCTTACTGTCCACTTGTCTAGCATATCCTTCAGTGGTTTGTCTATGAGGATGTTCTGGGAGATGGTGCTAAAGTTGAAAGAGAAACCAGCCCCCATGCGCTGGTCTCCTGTTGCCCACTTAGCCATTCATTTCATCACAGAAGGCTATCGGTTTTGTCAGGCACTGCTGGACCCTTGTAAATCTATGCTGACTACTGCCAGTTAGCCTATCCTTAATATTTTTGAAATGTTTTGAGAAGAATTTGCTGTATAACCTTCTCAGGGATCCAGGTGAAGCTGACAAGTCTGTAGTTCCTTGGGTACTCCTTCTTCTCTTTCTTGAAGAAAGGAGTGACACTTGCTTTCTTCTAGTCCTCAGAGACCTCCCCCAATCACCATGAGATTTCAAAGATAGATATGAGTGGTCTTACAATGACGTCAGCCAGCTCCCTCAGCACTTTTGGGTCCATCCCATCAGATCCATTGGACTTCTGCGTGTTGTTTGTTTAAATATTGTCTAACTTGTTTCTCCTCTACAGATGGTAAATTTTCGTTACTCTGAACTTCCACACTGGTCTCAGGGGCCATGATTCCCGAGAGCAAATATTAGCAGTAAAAACCAAGGCAAAGAAGGCATCGAATACTTTGGCCTTTTCTTAGCCCTTTGCCACCAGGTCCCCCTGGTTATTTTCTGCACATAGGGATGGACCACTCTTAAGCTTGGAGGATGTGGCCCTTGAAAAACAATTAGCTCTTCTGGACCCATCTTCTATCCAGAAATGCCTCCCATGGGGATTCTTCCAAGCATGACCTTAAACAGGTCAAAGCCTACTCTCCTGAAGTCCAGGTTCTGGTCCTACTATTTGCCTTGTTTCCTCCTGTTAGGATTCTTGGGCGTTCCCAGTCTACTAAGCTGCATCTGGTCTATGTGACAGCAGGACCTCAGTAGGTCTCATGGGGCTGGTCCTTCTACGGCTCACAGAGCAGTAAAGGAACAGTCATTCTTCCAAAACCTCCTTTGCCTATAAATCATGTGAAACAAGACCCAGTGACTGGCTGCCTCGCTGATCAGTCCATATACACCCAGTAACGGATCATTTCCGTGCTTCAGACTTTTTACTATCTCATCTCTTCTCCTCCCCTTCTCCTAACCTGATCTATGGAACAACTTTCGCCCACTTTTGATATTTCCTTTTACTGCCCTACCTCTTCTTTTCCCAGCTGTTTCCCAAGATTTCTTACTTCAGTCCTGGTTTTTCCCATTCTTTTGGGACGAGGCCGGATCATCCGAACTCATCCTTGCTCCACTGAAACCCATATGCAACTTCACACTGGCATTTCATCCTCCCATCTCACATTTGCTTTTCTTTGGCTTGATTACTTTTTGAACTGCCTTGTTCATGCTTTTGTTGTCCTGGTGCATTTATTAGTACATGGTGCACATAACCCTTTGGGCATGACTTAATATATTACACACCTCTTTTCATCTCTCCTCTGTGTCCTTTCCCTTCATTACTTTGTAACACTCCATGGTAGCCCACATGCCGACTTTAAATGGCTTGTGTCTTAACCTTGATTTTATTTTTAATCTCTCTTTCATTTATTTTCTTTTCTTTTTTTTTAAGAGGACAAGCTCAAGGTATTTATAATGATTTTTTAAAATGTATTTCTCACTTTTATTTATAATCTCCTGAAAACTGGAAGCAAAGCTCTTTTTCTTTATTAATATATCATTTCTATTGCTTTGTACTGCTGGAGCTGATCTGTCTTCAGGTTTTAAATACTCTCAGACTTCAGGGATACTTGGAGCCAGGATTTTTAGTCCAATCAATCTCTGAGTGTGGGGCTCCCTCTGAATGTTGTCTGACATTTATTTATTTTTATTAAAGACCATCTTCTCCCTCAGGATAGGAAACAACAACAGAACACATATACAAAATTACACAGACTTTGCAGAAAGTTATTTTTATAAAGCTGGCCGGATTTGGGCCCATCAGTACTGTCTCTGTCCGCTTACTTTGTTCTCCTTGTCTTTCTTAATGATGATATAAAGACTCTTAAAGAATATTTCTCTTGGATGGGAATCAAGACTCACTCCTACTGTGAGGTCCACACAGACTGATGTCAGTACCTCGGTAGAAACTTGCTCCAAGTCACCCGGCCCCATGGGGGTTCATCCATGTCCAGGCCCATGGAGAAAGCCCTTCTGAGATGTCTGCTCTCCCATTCACTTCCAGATCACTTTTCTCTAATTTCTCAACAATGCTATCAGTTCCTCTCTTAACCCCAGTGCTTGAGCTTATTAGCTAATGAAAGGGCAGCAGCTGTTTCCAGCATGTGCCTGTCTCAAAAGCGATACGAAGTACCCTTCTTAAATTGTCTTCCAGGCATAAAACCCACCCGGTCATCTTTTATTAATTTCCCCATTGCTTTGTTTAGTCTATTCGTAATTATGTCTGTAAATATTTAATGGTCACTACATTGATCTGTATAGCCATTCTTGCTTTCTTTAATGTCTCAGGCTTGCTGTAGAATACAAGAACTACAGAATCAGTTTAACAAATTCTGGCTGGGAAGCTCGCTCCTTAGCTGTGCTCACTTCTACCAGAGAGAAGTTTCTGCTACATTTTGGAGAGGGAAATATTCCCCTCACCCTCCTTTCCTTAACACTCATGTGCTTTGCAAGCAATGTCTTTCTGTCCATTCACATTCAGCATCCTTAAGTGCATTTGTTATTTGTATGGCAGCAGACCTAAAAACATTGCCATCCTGTTGCACCCAACACTACACCAACAGAAACTAATAAGAAAGGTCCTGTCCCCTAGGATGAATAAAGAAAAAATATAGGAAAAAATGTATTACTTAATTACAGAATTGAAGCAGAGCTGCCGTTTTCCATACTGTTATCCCCCGCTTGGTTTTATCATCCTTACCTCCTGCCTGCTTCTCAGGTTCTTATTTCGCAGAACACAAAGCCAGTGACACATCTGACTTTGCTTCAAAGTGAACCAGTGAAGGTTTCAGGGCAGGGACTGTCTCTCTCACAAGCTGGCAGAACAGTTTTCAAAAACCCACCTACCACAAAGTGCGTCCCCATTCTCTGGTAGCCCTCAGCAAAGCTCTGTGAGCATGATTCAGCATTGACTCCTCTCAGCAGCATCAAAAATTCCCTGCGTGTGCGTCATTTTCCTTGAATAATTCCTTTTTCTGTAGTACTGCTTCATTAACTCTCCTAACTGACAAGTTTTACCCTGATGCAAGCTTTCATTTCCACTTTGAAATGTCTTGTTAGACAAGCCTCAGATCCTTCCGACTCTGCTCCATGGCTGGTTTTCACCTATTATTAATGAAATGGCCAGAGTTTAACAATCCCCATTTTGGTTGCTAATATCGTCGCGTGTACTAGGGGCTGTATCAGCAGCTACACAGATGTAATTTTATTCATATCTGCTGTAGGATATGTACAATTTGCAAGCAAATTTGCCCCTTTCTGTACTCCTTCTTTCTTTTACTTTTTGCTACTGCAAAATTGAAATTCAGACACTTTGCTGGCTTTACCACAAGACCCCTTCCTAGATTGTCTTTTTGTCTTGCTTGTGCTCTCCCTTGAGTGCCGGTAGCATTGTAGGAAGTTGCAAAATCTTTCTTTTCTGCTGGTCTTTGAAACATTCTGGGCAGACTGTGATGGTGTTGTAGTGGTTTTTTTCTTTCCTGAGCATCTAGCCAAGCGAGGGCATTTCGACTCGAAGTGTGCAGAAGAATTCACCTTTCAGCACACTGTCCTGGGCCTGAAAGGCAAGACTTAGCCCACAGTTGTAGGTGGGTTTTATGGAAAGCTGTATGTTCTAGGAAATCTGAGCTCTGTCACTGGCATGACGCACTGGGAAGACCTTATAAGGAATCCACAGTGAGTATAGTGTTATAAAGCCTATGCAGGGTCTTTTTTCTCAGCCAACATGGAAAACAGCTAAGTATGGTTATTCTGAGGCCTGCAAACAAAACTACACACTGTGGATTATGGAGTTGATCCTGAAGTCTCTTCAGAAGAGGTGCCAAAGCTTCAGTCTTTATAGTTGTAAAGCAGACCATGCTTCAATGGCTTGAAGAAGATTCAAAGCTTGCTTTAGCAGGCAGACTGAAGTGGAGGTGTCTGGCTGGAAAGGGACTGTAGTTCGTGTAGCTCTTCATACACTCCAACAATCTCCAAGCACTGGAAAGTTTTGTGAGACTTTTTCATTCAGAACACATCAGAAGAATCAAAAAGCTTCTTCAACTTGCAGTCAAGAAACTACAAAGAAGGATTGCAGCCTTACAGGTTTTATCAGATAGGTACCACTCTTTGAGACCTAAAAATCTATTCTCCAAAAAGATCCAACATTTTCACCCCTAGATTTGCAAATGTTGTTACTGAAGCAATGGCAGGACATAAATACACAGGTTTGTTTTGGTCTGGCTGTATGCTTCTTTCCAATAATTTATTATTCTGGTCTCATCTCTTGTCTAAGGAACTATCATTGCTGGAATGAAGCTTGGATGACCAGACCTGATCTTCCTGTTGGTTTTGGAGGATGGCAGGTTGTTGATGGGACACCCCAAGAAACCAGTGATGGTAATATTGCTTGCAGTCATCCTTAGCTCTCTTTCCAACACTTGGGTTCTTTGTGGCAGATACTGAGCTGACGATAGCTAAGTCAGTGGCACCGTGTGGGTGGTGACAACTTCTTGTACCAGATAACCACGCTCACTCATGCTCAAGGCCTTCTCCTGATTTGGTTTGATCTCTAAAATAAGTCTGTCCTTAATAGAACACTGGTCATGATACATGTGCACAACATCCTGCATGAGAAGGGCCCTGTTTGGTACAGAAGAGATGTAATCCTGTTGCCAAAAGATAGCTTCTAAAATTTTAGAGAACTTATACAGGAGCCTGATCAAATTAATTCTCCTTCGTTTTATGTCTGCAGCCCTTACTAAACTTCCTGAGCAGGCGGCAGGCAGAAGGGAAAAAGTGAAAAGCCACTGCTATCTCTTCCCAGTCCTTAATTTTCCAGTTCTTAAAAGACATTCTTAGCAAATTTGCAGTGAGGTCTTTCTCAGTCTGTGGTATAACAGAACCTTCCCAAGATTATCTGCTATAACCAAAACCAGCTGTAACTGCATTTCAAGCACTTGAGACTTACAGTGAACTTTACAGTGCCATTAAGGTACCAAACCACTAGGTTGTTTCAGACTGGAGTCTATGTTGTCTAGAGGGCTGGTGGTAACAGAAATTAAGCTTTTCACTTCTTGGTCAGGAGTTCCTGTAAACTATTAAAAGAATTCACCGAACCCCAAGATCTTTTTCTTTGAGAAAATATAACATTTTGACATGTTTTTAAACTAATTTATTCTCTCATTTTATCTCTCTTCTCCCCATAGGTATGTACAGGTGTGGTCCGGCCTCAGTTCAAGCCATTAAACATGGTCACGTTTGCTTCCAATTTGATGCTCCTTTTGTCTATGCTGAGGTACATACCTGACAATTTTTAGTGCATTGACTGATGTCAGTGGGCCACAGGTGTGACAGAAGATAGGGCTCCACTGCAATTTATGGACTGGGAAGTTACTTCACGCATACTCCATGTCAAAGGAAAATCTCATAATTATATTTTGAGATGCAGACCGGTAGGTGTGATACGGCTCTAATGAATGAGAGATTTCTCTAATCTCTGCTCACCAGTGTAATAAGCAGAAAAAGCTACTCCAGCTCCAATGAAACTTCAGGCTGTGGTCATTTATCCTTCCCAGATTCCAGCTATGCTGGCAAATGAGTCATTAGCTCTAGGTGCTCATCTTCATCCCTTGTTAGCCATTACCTCCTTCTCAGGCTCGCCAGCAAAGCTGCTTGTGTTAAGGCTCCCTTGCTTATTTCAGTCAAAAAGGATGCAGTCGTTTTAAAGAGGTCTTTGCTCACCATGTTCATTTTGGCCGCAGTGGGTCAAAGAGAGCTCACGTGGGTAGTTTGACTGGCAGATCTGAGAGGGAAATATCTCCATGAGGAGCAAGAGGGCCTGGTGTGGAATTTCAACCTCTTGCAACACCAGAGCCGACATGCCAGAATTGCAGTAGCTGTAGAGCAAGTCTCTCTCTAATTGAATTGTATATAGCTTAGGACAGAAAAGGATAAAGATGTTTGATCTATGAAGCATTCCTCTATCTATGGTCTAAACGTTTTTGGTGTAAGGAACTGTAATCATACTCCCCAAGTCCGAACAGTATATCTGTATCCTGCCCAAGTTTACACTGCCTGTTGTTCTGGAGCTGCGAATTGTAAAATCAATCCAGTCACTATTGTAGCATATGACTAATTTTAAACATGGGAATTCAGTGCAAGTGGGACTTCAAGTCAACGCATCATTGTTTTGAGGACAGATGGGCTGGCTTCCCTTCCTCTCTCTGCTTCCATTTATCCCAGTCTTTTTTCATTTAATTTTGTAGGTGAATAGTGATATTGTTTACTCAAGAATGGAGAAAAATGGAACCCAAGTGATAGAAAAAATAGACCCAACCCACATTGGGCAGTTGATTGTGACCAAGGAAGTTGGGGGTGATGGAATGATGGACATTACTGAGGAGTACAAATTCCAAGAAGGTAACCTGAAATGGGGTGGGACCGTACCAAAGTAGATTTACCTCCCTCAGATCTTGGATGGTGGATTTACAGAACTCTGGCACTGAGAGAAATGCATTAAAAGGTGCCAAGGTGTCCTCTGGAACAATTTATTTGTAACTCCACCCCAGAAGCAGTGCAGATGCCTTGATAAGAGCACAGACTTTGCTGCTCAGAAATGCTTTGGACGGAGTAAGTTATAGTGAAAATAAAAGGTAGTCGTAGAGTATCTCAAAGCGTTCAAAACAATTCAAGGCTTTCTGTAAAGCTGTTTACACATTTATTATTCAGGCCAGGTGTTTGCACAGAGTGAATCAGTGTAGGTCCATTGATATCAATCAAGCTAGGTTAATTTATGTGATGTGGCTTGAATCTTTAAGACCAGCTCCTTCGGAATTTGTGAAGCTCTCCTAATATTAACTTTGCCAGAGGAGGTTCACTGTCCTCTTCCATTCATTTCAGCGACCACAAACTATGGGAGATGCATCCTTGTGATTGGTGAGTGGGCTAATTGCAGTGCCCCTGTTTCTCTTCTAAATTTGATTTTGATTCATTTCTAGGCTCAGCTGAGGAGAGACTGGCTCTGGAGACTGCTGTGATGTATGGCGTTAAAAAGCACACCACCCAGGATACCACGTATGAGCCACAGACGGATGTTGACATGGACTTCCAAGTGCAAAAGGCAGTTCTTGGCAGTGACTTCAAAGTCACTGTAACTTTCAGGAACAAAAGTCACAACCACTACACTGCTACTACATACCTTTCAGGCAACATAGTGTTCTATACAGGAGTCACAAAAAATGAATTCAAGAAACACTCTTTCAGTGCAAAACTGGAACCCTCTTCATGTAAGACTTGCATAGTTGTTTTCAAACCTGCTAGCTTTTTTAATATGTGTCATTAGCTGTCAGCAGTGTCTCTACACATGGATAGAGCCAATTCTAGTACCTAGGGTTAGCATACTCTGTTGGGTATCAGGAGGCTCCACTCCCAGCTCTGGTCCTGCTACCAGTGTTGTTTAGGGCTGAGGATGTTTTCTTCAGGCTGTTGCTCCCTGCATAATACTCTCTTACACAAAGGTGCATGTCTGTGAACTGATAATTTTTTCTTATTTAGTACAAAAGAAAGCAAAGAAGTGCAGGTATTAAGCTGCAAGGTATCGTTTTTCACACCCTTAGTCTCCTAGCAGTATCTTAGCAAGTGAAGGAGACGTTCTGGTTCTCCGGGGTGTCATTTACAGGGATGGAAAGGTGAATATCTTGTCTTACCTGGAAGAAGCTGGCAAGATGTGAGTGGGTCCAAGTGCACATCTGGCTTTGCAGAACTGGGTGGTTCAGGATTCTATGATCTACAGTGATGTAAAAAGTTGATCTGTAACTAGAATGTGACACTATAGAGCAGGGGCATTTGCCAGCTGGGCGGGCACTCGAAAGGTGAGTTATCTTTACAGATGCAGCATTTGCTGTTCCTGGTGCCCTCTGGACTGTGGTGGGGAGATCCTGGCTCCTTCTTCTCGTGAGAAAAGCAGTTTCTGGGACCCTAGCTCACGTGGCTGAGGGCAGGATTTTGCACTCCTCAAAGTAGGGAAGAGGGATGTTCATTTGTTTTTGGACATAACCAATCTACTTCATGGCAGCCCTGTTCAGAAAACAGTCAGCAACTGTTGAGGATCTGCTGTACTCGAAAGCGCTATGGAGCAGGCTGGTTGTAGATCCCCAGCTTCTCCAGCAGGAAGTGACTGCCATGGACTTGTTCTCGTGACAGGCCTGTGCTCCTGGTTCAGTGCCTCCAGCTCAGCAAAAGTGATGAAACATGTTCTTATAAAAGCTAAGTCAGAGGACTCTCCACTGAAGTTCCCTATTGAAAAAGTCAGGAGCAATGATTTTGCCTTCTTGATGCTGCTACTGGGCAAAAGCAATCTCTGCTGAGCACACCAGGACTGGCAGGACTTTGAGAGGCCAAAGGGTGGGCCTCCTGATCTGGGTCTGGTGCTGGATCACAGCAACCCTGGCTGACCTCTGAGCTTGCTTCTCTATCTTGTCTGTCTCATCCCAGCTCAGAAGGCAGTGTGAGTCCCCTCTCCTCAAAGAGGATGGGTTTTGTCTCAGTGAGAAGCCTCCGTGGAATCACGGTTCCCACTGTGCTGTGAAAAAAAAACCCTCTGCTTTCTTCCTCACTTTAAGCATCATCTAAAATTGCACAGTTTTATTTGGAGCTGCCCTGACAGCTGCTAGCTGGTCCTTCCTAACTCCCCGACTCATTTGCAAGGGGTCTGGAGACAGGCTGTCTCTGGATTGCATTGGGGCTGTTCCAATGCAGCCTAGAAAAACACAGTGTGGGGTTTTACATTGGCTTTGCATCAATTACTAAATATTTAATATGAAATACCTCAAAACTTCTTGGAGACTTGGCTAGGTACAGTAAAAAAAATCAGTTTCAACTGCTCAGTCTAAATTCTGTGCCACTTCTTGACAGGGGAAAATTCAGTCTTACATCTGCTCTTGCATCGAAGGTCCGTGTAAGGTCTGTTACCTAAAACACAGCTTCTGCATTGCTTCGAGGCTCATCTGTATCCTCTGTGCAAGAAATGAAATTAATAGATGATGTTTAAGCATCCCTGAGCTTCATAATTCATTTTTTCTAAGTGAAGTAGTTTGTAAAAAGCTGCTTGAAACTGTGCTGGAAACTCTGAAATGACTGATGGTGAGTGAGCACAGACTGGAGAGAGGCACCTGAGATAACAGAACATGAATTTTTTTGCATGCATACAAAAAGTATGTCGCCATCACTGCCTCTGCCCAAGGTGACATGGTTTAAGGTATTACCACCTTTCAAGGTGGGTGTTAGTTTATAGCTGAGCTACAGTCATCGACTTGTGGAGCACTTTGTCCCACAACAGGACAAGAAAAGCCCTCACCAGCCATGCCATCTCAGACGGTGATACACAGAACTTGACCATCGTTCCTTTCAGCTTTGCCTTGGGAAGGAGCAGGCGTGCGTGCAGGGACGGTGTCCGAGCAGCCGGGCAGCGTGCGGGGAGGCAGCGCGATCGTTTGCGACTGTGTGAGAACGCTCTGTCAGGGGTGTGACGGTAGGACAGCTTCCGAGGCACTCAGGCAGGAACGGTAGGCTTCGTTCATAGCAAGAAGTGTGGATGTATATCTGGAGGTAACAAAAAATTACAATATAATAAAGAGAGGTGTCAAAGGCATTCTTCCAGCTCACGCTGCTGAAAGGATGAAGCAAGCTAAGTTTTCAAACGGGAAGCGTATGCATGAGTTTCAGAATAGTGATTAAAGGAATTGTGTGGGTTGAAAACACCTTTGAGGACTTCAATAGCTTAAACCTTCCAGTGTCTTCAAAGGTGCTCTCTCATTTACTTGGTTATATTTAGTTTTCTGGTTTTTTTTGAAAGGCTGTAAGGCAGCTGAGTGCTGTGTCTCCCTTGGCTTTCCCAGGTGCAGTAAGCGGTACTGCCAACTTACCAGCACAGTCAGTGCTAAGGAAATGGAAGGCTATTACTCTTTTTTTTCCTGTGGTGATTAAATTTAAACAGAAATGTTCATCTTTCTTTCCACTGTAAAGCAAATTTCTCTTTGATTGTAACTAATTTATTTATTTACTTACTTACTTTACACAGATGAGAAATACCTTGCCTGATTTATAATCTACAATTTGGGGCATTATGGGAAATTCTTTTACAAGAGATACAGATAGAGGGGGAGGGAGGGGAAGCACATCAAGTAAATTTAAGACTGGCCTGATAAATCCAGGTCAGGTGGTCACCAAGGGAATAGCTTTGAAACCAAGGAACCAGTTTTGATATGAGCGGATCAAAAGAGTGACAAGTGGTGAACATCATTTACCCAACTGAGTTCAGTTATCTCAGTGCATACAGGGTATGTCACAAATATGATACAAATAATGAATAACAGTAATAATCATAGTTAACAGATGGGAGATCTTGATATGTTTACTAGGGTTATAACGAATGTTTAGAGAGGCAAGAGCTCTGGATCTATATATTCTGCCCAGTCACTTAGTTAGCAGGCCTGCTTCCCTGCATCACGTTCTCACACCACTGTTGGCCTGGGAATTGCAGTTCAATATGGTTAAAATTAATGATTCCCTGCATCTCAACCATCTAGCTCAGGGGGACTTGTTCCTTCCAATAATTATCGTCAGGGAGTACGTGAAAGCTCCCTGGAGGGCATGCTAGCGATGGGAGGACCTTCTTGCTAAATTTTGCAGGCAAATCCAGTGCAGGACAAAGGCAGATATCCAGACATGTTCTGGAGAGCAGGTGGTCTCCCAGGCAGCCTGCACAGTGGCTGCTCTGGTGGTACCCCTCTGCCAGGAGGAGAGGCAGAGAAAGCACAGGAATGAAGCGAAAGAGCAAACATTTACAGGGGTGACACTCAAAAGCTGGTTTGGATGTGGCTAGTAGTTATTTATTGCCAGTCTTGCTGCTCACTTATTTTGTGGTAGTGCCTAGAAACCTTCAACAGTGACCTGGGCCCGTGCTGATGGGCACCCGGCAGGGGCTGTGCACAAACCCAGCCCTTGTCCCAGGGACCTCACAGCCTAAATGGGGACACGGCAAGGTGAGAGGGGACATGGAGAGGTAAAGAAATGCAGATGGTTTAAGCAAAACAATCAAAGTCATTCTTTGGTGGTGGGCACTTTTTTTCCAAGGCACTCGTGTAACTGGCACTGGCCACGACGGGAGGAGCAATTAGCCATTAGATTGCTTCAGATGCCTTTTTTCTCTCCTGTTTCTCCCCTCAGCTCGCACTTTCGATGTTGTGATCAAATCGAGCGAGTACCTCAGTGACCTTCTGGACCAAGCATCCTTTCATTTCTTTGTGACGGCGCGGATCAACGAAACGGGGAAGATTCTGGCGGCACAGAAGGCGACAGTCCTGGAAATTCCCACCTTGACCATCAAGGTAGCCCAGGGCTGCGGCGGAGGCGAGCAAGCTCCACGCCGCATGTGGGCTCTGCTCTACAAGGCTGATACCTTGAGTTCTGGGATGGGGGGGTATATGTGCGTGTGTGCATGGTAGACCTTCAGTCTAACACAGACCTTAAAGCAGCGGCTGACGGAAGTGTACGAGGGTGTATAGGTATGTTCCATATGGTAATAAGTATCCTACATCAAGGTCTGAGGCTGACAGCATCACTGGGAGTAGAGAGGTGAAATGATCTCGGTGGAGGAAGGAGGGGAAAAGATCCGAGAAAGCTGGAGAAACTCAAAGGGTAAGAGAGATTAGTCAGGTGGCTCAAGTCTTTAACTGCTTCGGAAGTCTATTACGTTTAAAGCAACACGGAACAGAATGCAGGACACTTACTGATGTGAATTTGCCTGGAAAGCTCCTGCAGGTGTCGTGGAAAGTGCCCCCAAACTAGGAGAGGCAGCATCCATTTGGGATGATGCTTTCAGGACTTCAGCGCTTTGCTGCTCTTCTGTGAACAAGCTGTCAGTGGAGTTTCCTGAAGGTTCAAGCATTTCTGCAGAAGGTGGCATGGTACCTATGGAAATGTAGAAGTGCAATGTATGTGATAGGACAAGGACCCTATGTCATATGGCAAAGGCAGGGCTGAGATTTCGAGTTCTCAGCTCATAACTGGGCATCCAAATAAATTGCCTGGTTTTCAAAAGCGCTGAGTCTTCATCTGCTTTGAATGATGTCATTTGGATCTGCTTTTTTCCTAATACTAAAAAAAACCTCAGAACACTTGTTCAAGAAGCTTTACATAAACATGAATGTAGCTGCCTAAAATTCAGGAGCTTGAAAGAAATCTAAGATTATAGACCTTTAGCTCCCTGTATATTTATTTGAACCAATGTTCATGTTTCCGTACAATAGTATTTGTAGTAAACTGCAGCCTTCTGCAGAAAAAGCTTTTTTAAAAACATAGATCAGAACCACAGTGAAGTTTGCAAAATATTTCGTGGTCTGCAGAAATGTCACTATGATCTGATCAGGTTATTGATATTTCCAAATAAAAGGTTTTTCCTTTACTGAGAATTATAGAGAGGAGGTAAACAAGACAGATAAAAGCTACTTCAAATACCTGTCTTCAGTAACCAAATTTTGAAAGAAAAGAGTTCTTTCAATGCAGTACTTGAACAGAACGTCTTCTCCAGGATCCCAAATTTCAGCTTCACACCAGTTTATCATCCCTGCTGCTATGAAGAAAGGATGTTTGGTATATGAGACAGGTCGTTGTCTGATAACCATGATTCTAGTAAAACTGAGCTTGTCTCTTCTCTGCGTCTTTGTGGTGTGTGAAAATCAGATGAAATTTTAGTAGCTGGACTTTTAAGAGAGTGTGTGTGTATACACCTATGCATTTATATATGAAACTTTGCTTTATTGTTTTTTGAAGAAATTTGAAGAAGCGTATCTCCCTAGGTTTCTTGGCAGATTTCTTCACTGAATTTGACTGGCAGACTGGAGTTCTTAATGTTCTTAATGTGAGAGTAAGGGAAAAGAATGAAAAAAATATTTCCCCTCATGTCTTTCTCTGTTGGTCTAAGGAGATTGTCAGAGTTAACAGTGTAGGAAATTACACCTTATTCTAATTTAGCTTGAGTCCAGGTTATGAAAACAGGCTCGGCAAATACAGATCATGGTCTCAGCTGCATGTGTGGGAGTTCAGGATGATTTTGAATCCCTCCATGTAACAGTGATGTTAGATCTTAAATGGGCAATTGAAATAAGGAGGACATAAGACCTCTAACTGAGCTAGGACTTCTGAAAATGTCACTGATGTCTTTTTGCAAATTTAGGTGGCCAAATATTGTTGAGAGCTTAGCTGTGAGTATCTCATTCTTTACTCCAGTCAATAGATCAGTATGTCATGCAGAGTGATCCCTTAGACCAGAGTCCTTCCAGCTTTTTGCAACAGACATACTCCTTAAAAATTTGCAGTAGGGCTGCAGATGCCAGCATAGTACTTCAAATTTGTTGACAGGATACTTGTTTTTCTTAGTTACCTTTCTCAAGGCCCTTTAAAGTAGCCCATGGACCAGCTGGGATCTGCCAGCCACAAGATGAAAACCCGTGCCTGAGCCTGTTGTGTTCTGTGAGAAGTGTTGTGTTTCCAGGGGAAAAAACCCCAGATCCCTATGTATGTAGTCCTTGTTTAAAAGCACGTTCATCTGGAGGTGTTTTCCAGGCAGCTGTACTATGAGCACTGAACTGCAGGGACAGACAGATCCCTTCAGCTGTGTGCTGTAACACACATGGAAGTCAATGGGATCGCTGTTCATTAGTCTTGTGGTTTAATATTTTCCAGTGCAAAATGTATTGCTTTTTTTCAGTGTAAGGATTTTGGAGGACAACTGGCTCTCAGGTCTGCGCAGAGTGCACGCACGGGGCTAGAAACCCTTCAGAGCAGGAGAAGCGGTTGCAAGGCACGGGGAAGACGGGCACAAGACTTTTGGGGGGTGCAAGCAATGCGACCTGGTGTTTCTAACTTAGAGCAGTAAGACCTGCCCTTCTCTCCTGGAGCTTACGTCCTGAGCAGGCCACGCACTTCGGTGCTGGTGGGGAGCCTGGGGAGCAAGGCAGAACCTGGGAGAGAGATCTCCCCGGCTGGACTCGCCCTCGGGTGGACCCTCGGCTCCAGGACTGTGTCTGCAGATTTCTGTTTTTTTCTGTGGAAATGGGGGCCTGCCATTTGACCTCCCATGTGGCTTCAGGGAAAATTGCAAAGGGTAGAAAATTCTGCAGTGGTACCCATGGGCCTGTCCAACAGTTTTTGTCTGACTAGGCTTTCTCTGCCTCATGTTGTTTTGCTGTGTGCTCCATTCCCCCTCCTCTCCTTCCTTGCAAGTACTGTGTATTTAACCCCACAGATTTCATCGTGGGGCATTTGATTATTATCAGATGGTGGAACATTGTCCTTACCTTGTCTTGCAGACCCAAGGTGAGATGGTAGCTGGTAAAGAAATGTCTGTGACTGTGGAATTCACCAATCCTCTGAAACAAACCCTGGAGAACGTCACGCTCCGCCTGGAGGGACCAGGCGTGCTGAGAACGATGAAAAAGGAGTTCAGGTAGGGAAGAAAACACAATTAGCTGGGAGTTCATCCCCTGCTTGCTCGCAGGAGTGAAGCTCACGAGAGACACTTAACTGAAGCTGTGCTGAGTAATTCAATTCAGACACTCTCCCCTCACTTTGGAATTCAATACACGGGGAAGCTACAGGTCTCAACAGTCAGAAGAAGTCAGGCTGCCCAGAGAGACTGTGCAGACAGAGCGTGAGAGCATTTCATCTGTTCAGCTCCAGTGTCAGAGGAAGGGGTAGTGGCTGTGGGTAGTTGCTAATGCAGTCTGAGTTTACTTTTTCTCTGGATTACGTTATTTTTAGCACTTGACAATAGCACCTACGAGCCGCTATCACGGAAAGAAAGACAGATTTATCCTACACATGAAGTGTTTACTGCCACTCGCTCAGTATGTGCAAATCAAGTCCTGCGCTGTTTTTCAGAAAGGGCTTTTCTCCAGTCCTGTTAATCACGATTACTCGAGAGGTTCAGGTACCTCAGATGATCTCTGCGAGCTTATGTCAAGACGCGAAACGTGAGTGGGATGCAGCGGAGCCCTGTGGGGTGGCTGCAGCGGTGGGTGAGCACGCAGCTCCCCGGGTAGCACCACGGCAGGGGGCTGCCCTGGCGCAGAGGTGTGCTCCCAACACACGCTGCTCCCAAGCCGGAGGAGAAGCAAAGTCCTTCAGCCACCTTCGTCACACTCAGAGCTGCACCTCGCGTGGCGCAGCAGTCCCCGTCTGCTAAGCAAGTTGTTTCCTAAACCCTCTTCCCGTTTCATAGAATCATAGAAAGTTTTGGGTCGGAAGGGACCCCTGGAGGTCATCTAGTCCAACCCTCCAGGGACACTGCTAACGAGATCAGGGTGCTCAGAGCCCTGTCCAACCTGGGCTTGAATGTTTCCAGGGATGGGGCCTCCACCACCTCTCTGGGCAACCCGCTCCAGTGTTTCACCACCCTCATTGTAAAGAATTTCTTCCTTCTATCCAGCCTAAACCTACCCTGTTTTAGTTTAAAACCATCACCCCTCGTCCTGTCCCTGCTGTCTCTGCTAAACAGATTGTCCCCATCTTTCCTATGGGCTCCCTTTAAGCACTGAAAGGCTGCAATCAGGTCTCCCTGCAGCCTTCTCTTCTCCAGGCTGAACAAGCCCAACTCTCTCAGCCTGTCCTCACAGCAGAGGTGCTCCAGCCCTCGGATCATTTTTGTAGCCCTCCTTTGGCCCCGCTCCAACAGCTCCATGTCCTCCTTGTGCTGAGGGCTCCAGAGCTGAAGGCAGGACTCCAGGTGAGGTCTCATCAGAGCAGAGCAGAGGGGCAGAATCCCCTCTCTCAACCTTCTGGCCACGCTTCTCACGGTATAAGCTCTGCATTACTCAGTTCCAGTGTACGTAACCGAGATGCCTGGAAACGTTTGCAGCCGTTGCCTGGTCTTGGGCAGCCAAAGCAATGTTATCTGTCATTACCTGAGCTGATGGCCCCCAGGTATGTGCAAAAAGAGTTCACGCTGTGCGTGCTTTGTGCGTGTGCTGTGTCACAGAGCTGCCGAACGCGACTCGGCACAGGCCACAGGAGCTGCACAGGTCGCAGCAAGAGCCCTCATTGCCCCCCCAGCCGTGCCAGCCTCCCCTGTTCTTCTGCGTCCTTCCCAGCCCAAACGCTGCCCTGGGCTGTTCTCACCTTCAAGAACGCAGAAGGTGTCAGGTGCATCACAGGCACGGGAGCTGGGGAGAAAAAATGACTCACGGAACAGACGTCGTTATCTTTCAAGTCACCATGTTTTTCCCTTTTCAGTAGTGCCCTCGGCGTCGTTTAAAATGGAAATGGATCAGCTTAGTTATTTTAAGATTTAACTTCTCTGAGATGAATGAAGGCTGCAGGTTATACACACAGAGGACAGAGCAGGGGGCAGTTGTAGTTTATTTAAATAATAATTACATTTGCCTCCACGCATTCAGAGTGATAAATGGCTCCAGTGTGGTGATGGCTCAGCATATTATGCAGAACCATTCATCACTGAATTGTCTCCCAGGAAAATCAGATTAGGGTGGCTTTACTCCATTTGCAAAGAGAACTAAACCTATTCTAGGCTTTCCCCACCCTTCCACTGCTTCCCTGTCCGTGAGTGACTGTCACATACGGGACTTGGCTTTTGTAATTCTTTGTGGAGACGAGACTTTTCACCTCTCTGTATTTTAAGGTAGCTCTTCTGTGTCACTTGGGTGACTCCACAGAAGAGATGTGTGTTATCCAGCTGATACAACATTATTCTGGGAATGAAGTGGCTTGGGGTCTTCAGTCTTGACCATTCATGGAGACTATATATATAGTGATATTTAGCTATTAGCCTGAGACAGAAGAGGATCATGACTTACGGAAAAGCCTTTGGCAGCAGCAGTTCCTACGTGGGGCATAATCTTTACATGACAAATGAGAATTAATCTGGCAGTGATGGATATTGTTAAAAGGATTTTAGCCAAGCATACATTCACACTAGCAGGTTAAGTCGCTTCTGGTGTTACTACAGGTCAAATCTCAGCTAGTATTAGCATTTGTAGAGAGAAGCAAGTAGTTTTGGAAGGAGGATGGTAGAGAAACAGGAAAAAGTGGGTTTGGTTTCCTAGCACAGCTGTTTTCTTCCTGCACACGCACACATATGTACGCAGAGATGAAAGCACTATAAATCAGAGCTGGTAGTGCTACGCTGTCTCGCTGGGGCACTGGGAAGATGTGATCTGGAAACCTTCATCCTTAGAGAATCTGGCCTCCAAGTGCTCAAGAAAGTAGACCAAACCTTGCTGCACAGCAGACTTGATCTTCTTCACTTTCCATACAGATAATCCCTTGAAGATCATTCCCATAAACTCTAAATTTAAACGGTATTTAACCTTGTGCAGAAATTGAAGTCATTGCATTACCATGCTACCGTCTTTAGTAGGCATTTGGTGGAGCAGGCAGGCCAGCTGATGGGAACAGAATATCTCTCATTAAGAACAAAGATAAAAAAAGGGAAAACACTTGCTGGAAGTGGTCTGCACATGCTCACATCAAAAATATGTTCTTCCTCTGCTTTTTCTTTTCTAAAGCTGGGTACATGCTCCAGGGTACCTATGACTGCATGTGCGAAATGCAATGCAGTGCCATGTGGAGATACCTAAGCTAACCCCTAAGGAGCTGGAATACCTCTAGTTTTAGCAAGGACAGACTTGCACTGAAACAAATATTCAGGTGGGAGGATCCCAGGGTAGCTCATTTAGAACTAACTAAGGTGCCTTGTCTTGTGGCAACTTGTGCTAAGCCTGGGCAGTTATTTCTGTCCTGACCCTGGCGTAGGGCATGGCATCTGAGAGCCAAATCCTACCAGATGGGAATTTGAAACAGTGACTAAAGTTTAGGTGTACTTTACTCTCGCTTTATTCAGTTGTTTTCAAAATACCATAGCTGTGTGAGATGAGAAATACATAATCCTCTTTCTTGACGCTGAGGAAAAGAACATTCATTTTCATAAATAGTTCCCACTATGCTACCTAGTCCACTGGTTCCTTTGGAGCAGCTGTACCCTGACATCCCCCAAACATAATCAATCAATCAATATCAGCCTTCAAAATATGCACACAGATCGTAGCGAAAGCACTGAGAAAATACAGAAACCCAGTACTCGAGTCTCTCCGTGCATCTTAATTGTAGCAAAAATTGAAAATCAAGAGCAGCGCAGAATACAGTTTCTTTATAGTATGAGTTGTCAAGAGTCATGCATAATATAAAAGATAACCACTAACAGCAGGACTCCCAAGAACACTTTGACTTGTTTGTATGGACATGAAAAAGTCATCTGAAGTGGCCAGTGAGGAGATCTGCTGATGTTACAGCCGTGGCGGTGTGGTACAGGCGGGAGCTGGCAAGGGGCTCAGCATCTCATCCGCACTGTGTCAGCTTTGCACAGGATTTTTTTAGGAATGCCCTGGACATTTCGTAAGAAGGACTGATTCAACCACTTAAGGAATCACCAACAGGCTGTAGGCTCTAATAAATAGGTAAAAGGGAATGATAAAGTGGAAAAAAAATATGTTAGCTATAAAGAAGATCATTCTGAAAGTGATCGTGAGAGGAAGTGACAGGAGGGAGAGAAAACCCAATTTATTTTGGAAATTTAAAATTAACCTGGAGGAAAGGCTAGAGAAGGCTTCAACAGAGTCAGTTCTGTGAGGAATAGAAGATGGAGGGAATAATTTATAGAACACTTATGAGAACGAGTGAAACATAAAAAATTTGAGACCTGTTACACTGTCCGCTTTCGGTTTCTCCAGCTGTGGGTCAGGCTGAGAGCTCTGGCTGACCCATCACAACACTGTTACTTTCCTTTTTCCCCACAGGCAAATCCCAGCGAATTCTACCTTGATCTGGGAAGTAAAATGCATCCCAAAACGACCAGGGTTACGAAAGCTGATTGCAAGCCTGAATTGTGATGCTTTGAGGCACGTGTATGGTGAGCTGAACGTCCAGATTCAGAAACCATGAATAAACGTGCTGCCTTCATCTCTCATTTAGCTATATTTCAAAATATCTCGTTAGAGGGGGGGAAAAAAAAAAAGACGTAGAAATCTACTTATTGTTCATTTGGTCACCCTTGTGCTGAAGAAAATTTGATAAAATGTAATCGGTAACACTGGGGAGAACTTGAAAAAGCATCTGGATAGTGAATGATTTAAAGTTAGATACACATAATTAAAGGCAATTCAAGGCCATATTGTTCCTGTGGTTCACTTGTATTTATGGTCTTTTGCGTTAGCGCTGCAAGGGAATCTGGAAAGCTCCGTTCACCAAAGTAGTCTGAACTTTAATTTTAATTAAGGCCTGATATTTCACTGAAAAGAAGAAAAAAGAACCCAGTGTTATAAATTCTTTGACTGAATTACACAGCCTTATGGTAGATCACTCAGGCTGCAGTAAAAACAGGCATTTATGGCTAAAGGGACTGCTTTATCTTACAATGTTACGATTTTCCAGTTCACGGAGAGCTCGGTGTGCTGGAAGCATCTCTCAGGATATGTTTATCTCCAGAATATTCCTAGCTCCTTGTTTCCTCTTGCTGCTTCCCTATGCTTTTTCATTTACTCTTCCATGTGTGCAGGCACCCACGCATACTCACTCCGTTATTTCATGCCTTCATCCCACCCCTGACGCTGTTGATACGCTGTTCCTCTCCTCTGCTTGGTGAAAATCCAGAGTGTTTCATGCCCCTGCTCAGAGTTCATCACACCAAACTTTAATTTCCTGGTCACATCTCTTTTGCATGGTGTGATCTCTCTTCATCCTTTTCTGCCTTTTCTTATCTCCTGAACCCACCCTGTAGCCCCATTCCCCGCGTGCGTGTGTGCGTGTCGGGGGGGTTCCCTGCCCCAGAGCAGTCCAGGCTCTGCCAGCTGGTAATGGGGTGAAGGAGAAAGGAGTGGAGGGGACAGCATGAGGGTCTTCTCCTGCCAGCCCCACGAGCCCAGCAAAAACCCTGCACTGCAGCTGCCACCCGGGGGTGAGTGTAGACTAAACCGTGCCTGAAAGTGTCCTGGGAACCACGGCTGCTGCAGAGCGAGGTCCTGTTACATGAGCAACCCCGGGAAGATGCAGGGACAGCAACTCAGATGCAAAATGAATAAAGAGGCATCCCAAGAGTCAGAAACTCCTCAAGCTGGGTCTGCTTCCTGCCTTTCTCACGGCATATGCCTCTGTGAGGTGCAGTGGGACCTCCCAACACATCGCTTCTCCCCTGAGGACCTTCTGCCCAAGAGGCTGCTCTGAATAAGTGGTTTCCGTTAGTCTTCCACGCAGGGTACCGTTCCACCCTAAGCCAGGTGCCCCATCGTGCTAGGGCAGCAGGAGGGCGTGTGTGTATTCATTTCTTATCTCCCCTGAAATCCTTCTTGGGCTCCCTTTCTGCGAGGCAAAGACGCATGTGCCACAAGCTGCAGCAGCTCCTCTCCACTGCCCACAGCGTGTAAGAGCAAGTCCTGTACTAACAGCACAGGTGACGTAACTGGGCTTCCAGAGAAGCTAAATGAAGCCTCGTGCTCATTAAACGCTGGGGCTTTACTGTGCAGTGTATGGGCATGTCATTTTGTGGTCTCATTAGTGAGAAAGCAACAGAGGTGACTTGCCTTCTGCTCTTCTTCTTGCCACGCTTTGCCTCCTGCAAAACCTGTGACCAGCAGGGCCTGGGAGGGGAGAAAGGCAGGCTTCTCTTTTGCTGAAATATCACAGAATATGTGGAGCTGGTAAAAATAAGCAGGGCCTGGGAGGGGAGAAAGGCAGGCTTCTCTTTTGCTGAAATATGTGGAACAAAACAAAGATTCACAGCACCTCCTGGGCTCAGCCCCCAGATCCAGGAACACCAGATGTCTGGGGGCTCTCCCTTCAGGCACGGGCACGCACGTGGTTTGTACAGCTTATGTGACCACCTCAGAAGCTCCCAATGTCAAAGTCTCCCAGATAAGTCCTCTGGGGTACAAGGGACTGAGCAGTGTGTTGTAAATGCAAGGTGACAATCTCTGCTAAGTAACCAAGCAGTCCTGCTGGAGTCTACAGCATCTAATAAAATTATCCAGTTTTTGCTCTTGCATATAAACCTGCTTTCCCCTCCAGACTTTTAATAATCACAGCGTAGGAAGAATTTGAAATAAAGCAAGTCTAATTGCACTTGTGTCTTGTATTCTGTATTTTGATCAATCACTTCTATGTAGCAGCACTACAGACACCACTTGCTGCATCTTAATTGTAAAAGTTAAAAAATTTATTTCTGTGCCATGTTAACAAAGCTGCCTTTCTTGGTGCTAAGGAGAAAACCCGATCTTTATTTAAAAAAAAAACAAACAACAAAACCACAACCATTTACAGGCTGTTTAACTATTTGCCTTTGTTTCTGTTTTAACAACTACCTAATGCATTGGAGAAGGTGACAATTTCCAGAGCACAAGACAGTGCCAGCAAACAGAATTCCCGGATTCCCCTGGAAATCTCTTTAACATGTTAGAGCCATTCAGTGGCTGGCGTGCTCCTACTGAAACTTCACCTACATCCCACTCCTAAAGTGTGTTTCTCTCAACTAAATATTTCAAGCAACTTTACTAACAGTCATTAAGATGAAGAACGTTCACCAGGAGACAGAAAGTGTTTTCATTGATGGTTTACAGAGAGGTATATTGAAGTAATGAGAAGTTCAGTGATGACTAGGAGTAGAGGCCAGGGATGTCAACAGCCCTTGGCATCACCAGCCCGCTCACTGTGCAGAATTGCTCACAAATCCTAAGGACAAAACAAGGATGGCTTCTGGGATTTCAGCCGCTCCTCACCCTGTGGATGGGCTGTCGCCTGAATCGTGGGTAAAACCTGACTGAAGAAGCAGCGAGGGCTGTGGTAGCGCTGTGTGTACACACGGGAAATAATCAATCAATAGTAAGGTCAGATTGGCAACCCCAGGTCTGGAGGATCTTTGAAACCGAGAAGAATTGGAGTTCAAACTCTTCAGCTGAGGGTCTCTTTAGAGGGGGGTGAACTTGTGTCCTCAACCCAAACATCACATATCTGCTGAAGAAAACGTCCAAAGCCAAACCCCTGCCTCCACGGATCCCACACTCCAGCAGCTCAGAGAAGCCCAGGACAAACCAAAGCCTGCGTGCTCCTGGAAGCACACCTCGTTTGTTACCAGCTTGTTACATCCAAGCCAGGGAGCTGGTTGCTTCGGTTCCCACCCATCTGTCACATCAAAAATCTTGTTACGGGCAAAAGGAAACACCCCTTACATGCAGACCTAGGAAGAATATATTGGTAGTCTTGTTAAAAAGAGTCTAATCAAAGAATTATTATTAGCTGAGATACTCAGGTGATGGAATTATATTCTTGTATTTTTGTTACAATAATACTACCACTCAGTGTCCAAATTATATCAGCTAGAACTGATACACATAAACTTGCCACCATAGTCCCCTTTTGCTGCTTTTGTACACACCACTACGCTGCTCCTCTGATGCCAGCAGTCTAGGGCAGGGGCTGTGTAACAAACAGCAGGTCCTCAGGGTCCCAGGTCCCCCCCAAGCAGAGTCTGACATCAGCAGGGAGAGGTTCTCTTCCTCTTTGCTGGGATAAGCACAACTGAAAATTTTTACTTCCGACCATGAGATCCACCCAGAGACCGTTTTTATGTGCTGACTAATGCACTCCACATCTTGTCCTTTCCTCATTGGTTCACAACTCCATTATACATCCACATTTTCTGTATGTGATGCATTTTACACGTGTTGGGTAGTTGTTACATGTTCTCCTCTGTTACACCTAAAATTTGGCTTACACACCTGCTAAGATTGCACCCTTTGATGACCAGTAATTAACCACTGGTGAGCTATTGGTAGTCTGAGGCCTCCAGCATCATCCTACACCTGTGCTGCCAGGGCCTCTGTTATCATCCCATGCTCCTGATCCTTCATGTTGCATTTTATTTTGGGGTCATAACTAGTTCATTCGACACAGAAGAGCTACCTGCTGTTACTATCTATTAGTTACAAAACGTACACAGAACAACAAACATTTCACCATGAAATTGGATAAAGCAAAGCAAAAACTAAAACAAAGCCAGTAGGAGACATCAGGTCATTAGATAATTGCTCTTACAGCTAAACAAAGCACAGAAAAAGCTTGACAAGTCCTGATGCCTGCGTTGCTAGCGTGTCACCAAGCTGTGACCTTTCACAAGCGGTGGCAGCATCTTATTTGTGGAACAAAATCAGAGAACGTGACTGAGCATGGGCTTTTCTAGCGAGGGGTGCTGCCAGTGATAATTGGTTTGGACTGAAACTAATCAGTAAATGTAAATGTTCTGCCAAACAGGTGATGGCCCTGGTGCCCCACCCTGTTGTTCTGCTGGAGACTTATATACCACCCTTTGCTCCCCATATTGCTTTCGTGTTTGTTCTTGTTTTCTCTGTGGAGGTGGAGGCTGCTGGTGCCAGCTTTTGAACTTGGATGGTGGTGTGATTGAAGAAGATGACCAGGTCGGAGAGGTGGGAAAAGTGTTTGAAATTGTTCAGACCAGAATGAACAGCCCCATTCTGAAGGAGGAAAATCAAGGTATGCTGGGAGTGTTGATGGAAGGAGAGGGATTGTCCTGTATATTGGAGCTGGTATGATAGCTGGTGCCAAGTAGGGATGTGCTATGTACACTGGATTAGTACCTGTGATGGAAAATAGTGCCTGAGAGAATCTAGGAGGTTTTGACATAAATGAGAGGGATTTACCCAGTGCTTAAAGGCAAATTTGAAAAGGTTAAGTTGAATATTGAGGAAAGAAAACAAAGGCTGTTTGCTGAAGAGGGAAAACATGGCTAAAATGACCCAAAGGGAAGATTCCTGGTGGGGGAACAGAAAGCTATAAGAAAGACCCCGAGGCTGCTTTGCCTAACGCCGGGAATCCACAGGGACGACTC